ACGGGCTTGAGTTTAGCCTTTTGACCCAAACCACAGTTTTTCTTTTCTTTTTGTACCAACCAACTTGGAGGGTTGGTTTGGTTACCCAGCTACGGGGTTTGGTTGTGTTAACTGGATTCTGACTGAAACACAATTAAAACAAAACGCACTTACCTGAAAAGTGGAAGAGAGAACACGATGAACACAAAGAAACGGCATCGACTTGTTACTAAAAGAGCCAATTTCTTAATTCTGCATAAATTCAAGCCGTAATTACTGACTGTTTCTTTCTGCTGTAAAGTTGAGTTTTAACTGAGAGTCTGTAGGAAGCATATTCAGAGCAATTATCTGACCAATAATGTGGCTGCTGTGATGCTAATTGACTGTCCAACAATAGTTTCAGTGAGGGTGATTCTGTGGTTTGTGTTGGACATTACCATAGATTACGACATAGCAGACACAGTCAAAGTGATGCAGCATTACTGGATAACTTTAGATCTCCACCCTCTTACATAAATATGGTCACGTTTGGCTCAAATTGAGGCATAAAAGCACCTTCTTGTCAGACTTGCTGAGGACGAGTGCTTCTTCTGCGTCTCTCGTCCAGATCATCTGGATTCCCAGCAGGCCAATCTGAGCCGGGAACGCCGACTGGAACTCCAGAAGCTTAAAGGCGGAGTCACTGATGGCCAGGTAAGCCTGACGGATGATAGCATGAAGGGTTCCCCTCACCCCAGCTAGCAGCTCTCCTAACCACACCTCCACATTCCCCTGCAAGTGGAGGTGAGATGCTGATTGATAAAAGGATTGAGTTTAAGGGAAAAGTAACGGGGAACTTACTGGGAGGTCTCCATGTGGAGGTGAGATTACCTGTGCCAGGACTGGGTGCCTCAGCTCCACAGTTTCTCCTTCTTGGGACTGGAAAATGATCATCTGGTCGTAGATGTTCTCATTGAAAACAACTCTGTTAACGTTATCGAACAGACTGAGCAGATGAGCCTGACAGACACAGCGAGGAAGCAGATTCAATGTCATGATCAGAGGAAGGAAGAAACTCAGCAGCAGGAGTGAAGCTGAAGCATCAGACAGCAAATACAAACCCATCAGATCTGAAACCTGTGAGCTGCAAAGTGTCACCTGTAAAGTGTGTCACCTGTATAACATGTCACCTGTA